CGAACCGCTTCACGCCGCCGGCTGCGGCAGCGCGGGCGATGGCAATGTTGGCGTCGCCGTTCACGGCGCGCATCCGCTCATTCGTCCCAAACACACCGAGGGTTGTTATCACGCCGTCGGCGTCTCCGACCCGCGCCTGCACCTCTGGGACGGTGGCGTCGCCTGCGACCCACTCGGCGCCCTCCAACTCGGCCGCGGGAGTGACGCCAGCGGGCGGGCCGCCAGAGCGCGAGATGGAGGTGACGGAGTGGCCTCGCAGCAGCGCCTGGCGCACGACGCGGGCGCCTAGGTAGCCGGAGCCGCCCACAACGATTAGTTTCATGGCGAGGCGGAAATGTCCGAGAAGTCACCTCAAAACCGCATTTCAGGCGGTAAGCCGTCGTCGCCCGGCGCTGCATGCAGCACCGTGGCGATGGCGCTAAGAGGTTCCTCTTTCCGCCCCCCCCCCCGCAAGGCGCGCGATACACATTTCTTGAAGGTCCGATACTGGAAGCCCATATAGGCACCTTACACTCCCCCGCAGTATCGCACCTCTTGAGCGATACTACGTTTCCGCAGCTGGGGATTCTCCGGGACCCTCTTTGTACCCGTGCTGGCCGGTCTCGGATGGCGAAAAGAATTTGGGACCATTGGGTTTGTACTATTAACAACGAAGGCGCTCTCAAAATAATTTTACAAGAAAACTCCGTCGCACGACACTAGGGGGGAAGGACAGACGAGCGACATTTGACGACGTCGGGGGTCACAATGTGACGACCAAAACGATCTTGGGAGCCAGGGTGAGACAACAGGTCGGGGTGCCACACGGGGCACACCACCGGCGTATTCTAGAGGGGGAAAAGAAACGGGGAATCCGGGGCCCCTTCACAGTGGCACAGCCCGCGTTACACAATCTTGATTTTGGTCATTTGCGCCATTTGGTACCTCTCGGTGCCTTCCAGAGGCAGCTGTGAGTGACCCCGCCGAGTGGACGGGGGCACTCGGCAGGTGGCGCGGAGTGCCCCCGTCCACTCGGCGGGGTCGCAGCTGCCTCTGCGCGTCCTGGGGAGGTACCGAATTGTCGCCGCCGGAGACGACTCGATGCCGCTGAGATCGGAGAGCAAGCTCTGACAGGTCGCACGTCGCTCCTTTGACGCCGACGTGGTCGACTCGCCCGTACAGAGCACATCAGTACAACGGACTTGACGCGCTCGGTACGACGCCTGCGACCCGTCTCGGGTCAGGTGGCGCGACGCTCATCGCGCCTACCAGCGCTGCCTTGCAGGTTGCCACGACGAGGTCGAGCACGCTTCTATACGCTCGCCGAGCCTTCCTTTCCATCCCATTAGGCAGCCTGGGAACGGTGGCGGTCAGAGGCAAAGCCTACGAGGGGTGGTGGAACCACATGTCACGGCTACCGCCGGCTCGACCCCACGATAGCCTCCGAAGGCTGACTTTGCGGCACCATCATCGGACGATGTCGACGAGTTGGGTCGCTCTCGCGGTAGCCAGATGGCCCCTCATACTAGCATCATCGGCCATGGCCGCAGGGAGCGCGGGGGAGGGCGCTGGGAGCAACACGGAGCTCCGTTGGAGACGTTTTCAAGATTAGCGTGTCAGAGTGAATTGGAACTAGCCCTATGAGTGCCATTCTTCTTCAAGAACGGAGCACTTGGAGAACGGGTTCTTCGACTTTATCGAGGTGAAACGACTCCCGCCTCCCGGTACACATGCTCTTGAAGCAGCGCCACGCGCTGGGGCACACGCTAGGCTACTCGCATTCGTGGCCAGAGCTGAGTGCCGACACTTGCGGCGACGGGCTCGCGCGTTTCGATCTGCAGGATCGATCCGGCCGCACGGCAGCACTGGCCCTCTCGCCGTCAGCTTCGAGCATTGCAGACTGCCGCTGGGCGCTCAACCTGTTCGACTCAATCAGCCCAGTTCGAGAGCGCCAGCTGCTCCAACGGCGAAAGGCGTCCCCAGCGGCCGGTGCGCTCCGGTGCCTTGCGGCGACACCCCACGCAGCGCATGCGCTCCCACCAAGGCCATCAACTTCAGCGGAGGGTGAGCGCCGTGGACCACAGCCGGTGGAGCGAGCGCCGCCTCCGTATGCTCTGCATGAAGCGGGCGGGAAGGACACAGCCCCTCGTCCTGCCACAGCAGCGGCTGCAAGTTTTGCGAGGGATCAGGCGGCGCCACGGCCTTGCACGGCGGCAGAGCATGCGGTGAGGGAGCTAAACGGCGGG